TTTATATCTTATGATCTTCCATAAGGTTAATCTTATTTATTGTAAATGCCGCTGATTCCAGCTCTACATTGGCATATCGCAGATTAGAGGCTTGGTTATGTAATTGTTTTTGCTTTAGGGAAGAGATGTTCATGTTCAAAATACTGACTGTGCTTTACCCAAAAGAAAAACATATGTAAATGCACATTAGAAATAGTGTTCTTAATAATATTTATTAACATTTCATCACAGAATTGTAATAAAAATGCTCAGGGCAAATGTTGCAGAAATGTAAATGTTTACACACATTGTTTATATTCTCTGATTGTGTGAAAAACTGTCTTATTGAGTGACATTAATGGAACAAATGTATTATTATTATTTCTTACAGTATTTCGTCCAGTATATTGTATTTAATATGCCCACAGTAGATTGTATATTGTTATAATTCCCCATAAATATCAAAAGTGGGGTGAATTGTTTTGAGAATCTGGGGCAGAAACATTATAATTGAGAACATCTTCCAGACCTCTGCATATCAAAATATTGATATTGATATGATTCTTTGTATTGTTAAATCAATGGATAAGGCTGGAATGAAAAGGTCCAAACCCAGCCAGTCAAGTCAGTCCATCAGTTCATATATTCCTACTGAAGATGTAAATGTATAAAAGCCTGTCATGAATATACAGTTTCATGAAGAACCTCTTAAAACAGCTGGGTGCCGCCCAAATTTGTTGCACACTATTTTCAGCTGGGATTGAGTCAAAATAAACAACAGTAGTTATGTTCATTGTAATTAAGGAACATGTCTCCAACAGTGTGTAGCAGTGTGGCTCATTAATGGCACAGAGGAAGATATATGGCCACGCAAAAACACTTGTTAGTGGGATCAATTCTTTGATAGTTTTGTTTTTTTTCATGGAATTTGTTGACCATGAAAACAATATAAATAATCACCTCACATATCCTTTAATGGCTGCGACATCAAAATTATGAATTAAGGGGATTGTTAAATGACAATGCTAAAGCCCCTATGAGGAATTTCCATTTTGTGTTGATTCTGGTGGCCCCTGTGGACAAAAACGCTAGTGTTTCTATGGCCTTTTTTCATTATCGATTAAGAACAACTTCATAACATAGCCAATCTTCTCGCTGATGGTCTTGTTTGTTTATAGGTTATATACAGAGACATCAGTATTAAACTGAGACTGTTTCATAACCAGTTAAAAACTCCTGGTAGGTTTAACTAAAAATGCGTACTACATCATCAGATCACGGCATACTAGGAATTGCAATATAATGATATCTTTAATAGAGTGTGGTTGTAAAACTTGTTTTCTTCACCATGCTGTGTCGTTTTCACTCTCTAGCATTTCTTTTTGTCTTTCATGCAGTACTCCACCACTTTATGAGAGTTTTTAACCTCTCCCTAAGAACCCATCTTCCTCTCTAACTCTACAGCATCTCTGTGTGAGTCAGAATGACTCTTCAGTTGTGTCCATTCACCCACAGCCTGCCTTGTCGCACACAGAAAACCTCTGCATCCTCCTCATTATGGACAACAGATCACAGTTCTTACAGAAACACACTTTGATGGCTCTGCCTGCAGACTATTAAGATGTTTTGCCTGGATAAACACACCTGCCCGTCAAGTGTATTAGGTTATGAGTCTGTCATGGGTCTGTGGTATTACGGCCCTCTGAGACAGCAAACAACAGCCTGTTTGCTGCACTTCACATGTGTTGAAAGAAAACACATGGCGCTCTGTGTTTAGTCACTGTAGTGATCGACAGGAAAACTTATGATGTTTGTTTTGCCCAAGGATTCCCTCTTTGCTTGATCCCAATAGTCATACATCTCTCTTCATAGACATGTTGTTTATTTAAAAGGATAAAATGCTGTTTATACTGGAAAATGGCCAGTATTGTGCATGCCCATCCCCATGGGGCTTGGCTTGGGTAAGAAGCAGGCAACAGAGCGAATGCTTTTGACGTTTCAGTTGAATGAGTTGCAGGGTAACAGAGTCACAGTGATGGTTTGGCAGGAGTGTAATGAAGTCAGCTGGCATGCGTTAGGGAATGATATGAAAAAGGCATATATGGTTTCCTAAGAGAGTGAGAAAACAAATAGCAGGTGGGATGGAAAATTGGACAATATGAATGCAAGTGGGATTTGTCTTATTCGTGTCTCATTCACAAACACGTGAAAAATAGCTCAGTGCAATCCTGTTTTTCAGCTGGAACGACAGTGTATGGCACCCTCTAGCCATGTCGCACTGTATTAAGGTGAACGGTGCTTCCACTACACATTCACAGTTGGGGATTTTACAGCCAACCCACACTGTTGTCACTTTCATACCTCTGATGCTTTTTTAGTTTGGGTCTGTTTTGTGTTCATGCTGACTTATAAGCTATATGAGTAATCATGAAGTCATAACTGCATAATCAAATTGCTCTTTCAGCAAATTAAATGACTAAATAAGTTACTTGTCTGTGCCTTCTAGAGCGACACATAGAAATTTTACAAATCACTGTTGAGAAATACTTTTTTTTCCTGTGACAACACTATGGTTAGGGTTTGGTTAGGTTTAGGCACATAAACTATACGCTTAGGTTTAGAAAACGCTTGTGGTTTGGGTTAAAATTACTACTTTGTTAAGGTTAAAGACTTTTTTTTTATGGCGACAAACTTCAAAGTAATGACAATCTCCTCCTTTCGTTGACTTTGTCACTCTATAATACTATCCTCCTCCTGTGGCCACTAGCAGGCTTTTTCACTTGACTGTAAACGTGTAATTTTTTGGAAATTGACTGATGCTCTCTTTCTTCTTGGGAGGACTGTCTCATTCATTGGACAGTTTGGCCATCCTTTATTGTAATAGCTACATGGAAAATCTAATCCTGTGACTGACACCAAGTCATCCTGCACTTTATTGAACCTTATGGTTTTATTTAAAGAATAGGTTCACAATTTTTCATGTCTGTCTTAGCAAAGAAATGTCCATATGTTGCTAAAGCACTTGGATTTTGTGCAAAATTGCACTCCAAAACGGCTCATTATAAGGTAATGAAAACACAATGATTATGTTTCTTCTTCAGGTGATTATACACTAATGAAAACATACCTATAAACATTATATTTGATTTCTGCCAATAGATCCTCCTAAATGTTACGCAGTGGACCTTTACTACAGACCTGAAAATTGTGTGCCTATTATTAAACTCGTCTGATGTCACAAAGAAATACTAAAAAACTAAAAACTGAAATAAAATTAAGCATTGTGTACTGTGATATTACAGAGGGGATACAATATTGTGGGTATATATGTTATTTTTCTTAAATGAGGAACTGCCAAAATACTGCAAGAGTGGGATGCAGGCACAACACACCTCTGTTTTAACACCTTTCCACTTTCTGATGTGCAGGGAAATCCCTGAAGTGTTGACATGTATGTGTGTTAACCCTGGTCACCAAATAATGTTTCGTAGAGGCTACATTGCTGATACAGATCATCAGTCGTGGACAGTTCATGATCTACAGATGAAATTAATATTAGTTAATTCCTTTAAATTATGCTCACATCTACTATCGCAAATTTCCAAACAAACTGCACCACAGTTTGCCTGGAACTGGAAAAAAAAATTTCAGTGGTTTCTATGCAGTTGTTTGATTCTAATGAACACTTTTATACCAGCTTAAATAAGTCAAACCAAAGAGGCAAACAAACAAGAGTTTGTTTGAAGTGCACCAATCAGGTTAGCTGTAAAATCACACAAAGCAATTGTGTTACATTTGCATAGCCCTGGAGTCTTTGTTGTTTTCAATTACTTCAATTATTCACTCTATTCTGTTTTTTTTTTTTGTGGAACAGATCAGAAAACTGTGCAGTCCAAATCTGAGATTAAGGACAGGAAATAATCAAAATATTTTGTTATGAAGGAATAAATGGGCCAGATTCAGAGGTTGGTTTTAGTTTATAAGCCCAAAAAATTGTGAGCCTTCAAGTGTCTTGGTTGGGCAAAGTGGTGATGGCTACTTGTTGCAATTTTGCTGGAAGGTCTAACATGTGATAAAGGTCAGTGAACTGCTGGTACAGAAACACTGCCAGTTCTTGACCACAGTTGGCCCCACTAGAGCCATTATCTTGACCAGCAGCAACCTGCCACTCAGTTTTAAGGACATGTATTTGGTAACCAGCTAACCTTAAAGTGTCAAACACACGAATATATGAATTGTACACTGAACCATTCCAAATTCCTCTCAATATCTTGATTAACCAGCATATCACAGAACAACCCTTAGGCATAGAAAATAACAACATGTTATCCTGACTAAAGCATTTCTTTTGATTATGCAAAGAAAAGTAGTGTATTTTTTTTATCTATCACCTGTAAAAAATGTCATGCTTCAGGCTGTACTTTGGGGGAAAGCAAGTAAGAAAGAGATCCCCCCCCTAGGCAACTAGCGTTTTTTGGACAAAGATTTGGAGCGAGAGTTGCTGGGAACAAAAAGTCCTGAGGGAGTTCAGTGATGTGTAATTGTGGAAGTTGAACCAAAGAATAGATCTAGGTTATAAAATGCATTTAGTTGGTCAACTAAACTTTGGTTGGTAAAATGTAATTATAACATTTGTAAAGATTAAATGAAACATATAAATGCTTACTTAGTCAATCTTCTACATGTGACAGCAAGGTTCAACAAAACTGATCTCCAGCCAACTGGGCAGCCAGGTTGTTACAGGTGAGACAAACAAACACCTGCTGTGATTTCAAGATTGAGCCGGCTGTCTACTCTACCTGCCAAACTTCTCACAGCTTCCTCCCTCTTCTTCACTCTTGCCACTGACACTAAATCATGAGGAGTAAATAATGTCATCTTCAGAATTAATGAACATGCAACAAGTCCAAAAAACAGAGATGCTTAAAGTAATGCAGAGCTTTGATATAGTTGTAGTGTTTAAAACAGAGATAGGCTTTTCTCTTTCATTCCCCTTTGGTTTTCTGTATAATTGGACGTCTATGTTCCTCCCACTGGTCGCCACTCCTCTGGCAGTGCGTCTGTTGTGCCAGTCAAGGGTCACTTCCCGTGGTGGCAGCCCTCTCCATGTTGTGCCGACCTACGGCAAGAGATGCTCCTCCGGAGGTCTGCAGTGACTAACAGTGCTTATTCTTTGTGTCGTGCCAGGCGCTAACACCAGGAGCTGAGTGAACAGAGCACAAACAGATAAGCACAGCAGGTGGAATAGAGGAGATGCAGAGAGAGTATGGGGCACTTTTGACAGAGAGAGCTACTGCTACCAACAAGAAAAGAGATCATGGACTGAATTAGGAAGGACAGGGTTTTAAGAGAGAACCTGCTAGAGCCTCAGCTTAAAGGATAATTCCAGTTTATTACAACTTGGTCTAATTTTGATAGTTTGGGTCATCCTTCTTATCAGTAATACGAAGCTCCCTCCTTCCGAGACTTTCATATCTATCTAAGTATGGAGGTTGATTATCTTACCTAACCATAAGGACTTGAAGCCTGGGAAAACAAATAGCCTGGCTCTGTTCAAAGTTCAAAAGTACGCCTACATGCACCTCTAAAGCTCACCAAGGCTGGTTTCAGACCACGCAATAGTTTGTGTGAGATTGTGACAAAATTGAGAGCAGCACATTATCCTACAAAGCAGCAAACTAGGTCACTGCAGACTATATCTGTATGTAAATAATCACAAGATTACTTTTCAAATCTGGTATCCCTATCCTCTCTCTGCAATTCTTGAGATTTTATACTCAAGTTGAACACATCTGATCTGGTAGGATCAGAGATTACAGTTAAAAAAACCTTTTACTTAATTTAATTGCAGATAAAATAATTCCAAAGCAAGCTGACAGACACAAAGAATACAGAAAATATGTGACTGTTAAACCAAAACAATAAGCTCAAACCGGCTAAGAATCTCTGTGGAGCTGCAGAGTCAGGTGATAATCCTTTGTGTAAAATTAGGTTGTTCAAAGTGACAAATCTACAGAGTCATTTGATTCAGTGATAAAATGTTGTTTAACGTTGCTTCCAGAGCATTTCTATTTTGTGATATATGTTCAGTCTAGTGATTTTGATTACTGAAGAAGCCTAAGCATAAAGAAGTTAGTCCCACAGCCAGAAGGAGCTCATTAAAGGGAATGGTTTTCAACTGTAATTTGAAATTGAATTTGTTACATAGAGTTGCGTTGAAAGTCATATGCTTTGTTACTTGGAAAGAGTCATAAGTACTTTATTTTAAGCCGCCTTTTAGTTTGAAAATTCCATCAAGAACAGCAATTTTAAGACCATTCAACAGTGAGTGACTCAACAAACAGACTGTGATGAATAATGCTCACAGGCCACTGTAGAGGAAGTGGAACTTGCAGCTACAGGTGCTTTAATCAAAAGTAATACAGAAAAGTGGCATACTGTTTCTAATGTTTTTTTTTTCTTATATACACTGTGGTTGATAGAGACAGCGACTGAGAAATAAGCTGACTTAAAAAGCAGCTTGCTCAAGATCCCAGCTAAATTCAAATGCAAATTCATACAATATTATCAAACATAAAAAAAATGTATGCTCTCTTAAATACAAAACCTGACTATATACCTTCCTCTCACCTAATAGCACTTGAGTGTTATCAATCCCCTAATTGCTGCAAAATTATGAATAAAAGTCATGGGACTGGGGGTGAGAGAGGGGGCTGCATGTGCGTAGAGAGAGACAACGGCAGTTTTATGAAGGCAATTTTTCTGATGAGCATTTCTAATCAGTTGTGTTATAAATTATATAATTACCACATGAGTGAGAATAATGGTGTGTTGGCAGAGACACTGCAAATAGGATGATAGTACATAATAATACAAAATTAGAAAGACAATATGGAGAATGACACTACACATCTGCCTGTAATTAAATATGAAATGGTCTTTGCATTACGTTTAGTGATTTTTAACTAAATGATGTCTGACTATGTTACTCCAGTTACTCAAAAATCCATAACATAGAAAGAACAAGAGTGAGTGAGAAAGAGTTGTGAGTGATAGCAACAGTACTGGAAGAGTCTCTTGTTTACACTTGGAGCCATGGGAGGTACACAGTATGATACCAAACACAGCACAGTAGGTGCTGCATCGGGAGGTGATCCACCTTTATTGAACCTCCCATGACCTGACATTACATCATTAGATCAGCAGAGCATGCACTCTTTAAGGACAGGTTTCCACAGGCCATGATTGTTTTTTGAAAATAAGAGAAGTAGCCCCAAGGAGCTCAGATCTGATATACGGTATACAGTGCTGTGAAAAAGTATTTACCCCCTT